CCCCCCCCCCCCCCCCAAACAAAAAAAAAAACACACAAAAAGAAGAAAAAAGAAAAAGCATGAATCAATTCCAATTTTCAAAGCATTTCAACTGCAACAAAATTTACTACCTAAAGTGACAAATCAGTTAACACTTGCAAACATGATGACATTTGAAAGTGTGCTTTCAATATGGGATAATTGCTAGGATAAAACCTAGATATATTATACTTTCGGTATTGAACAACTGGTAGTTGTAAATCCAAAATGGTAACAACTATCAAATCAAAGCTAACCTAGTTGTTAATCATTTAATAAAACCATTGACATGCTTTCACCAAACAACTTGAACTTTTAGAAACATTGTCAGTCTCGGTAAAGTATCAGACTCTATACTACTAAGTGGCCATGAGTTCAAATTCAATCTATCACCCGCACTCTTGTAAATAAAAGTAGAAGTTCAGCACATGTTAAAATTAAGCTTGTATAATCTCCAGGCTTCAAGCTCAAAGTGCTCTTGCTTCATGAAGTGAGTTAATGACACTAATAATCTCAAGCACAAAAGATACAGAAATACTCCAAACATTAATGATCTTTGTAGCTCAGACATAATCCATGTCCAATTAAATAAATTAGTCCACATCGTCAGGATAAATACATATAACATGCTAACATTTAGAGGTTATTTATTTTTAATTTAATTCATGGGAGAAAGACACCGCCATAACCCATGTCCCTGAGAAGACCAATTAGTACTGAAAATTCCAACCAACCCAAAAGCAATTGGAAAACGAACACACCATAATCAAGAAAACACATTTTCCACAAACTTAATTCTGAAAACAACAGCAAGAGATCGTTCAGACAAACCAGTAAGCATGCTCGCAACCTTTTACAAGAGCAGTTTCCTGCAGCACTATCTTATCCAAGCAAATAGCACAGATTCCCCCATGGCTTCCAAACCCCACCTCGTGAATCTCTGCCTCACTCCCCTTCTCACTCTGAACATCAACAACATCATCAGAAACCATGGAACCAACAAAAGGAACGCAAATTCTAACATTCCCAACCCCATTAAAACAACATCAACAAAATCAGCGACAGATCAAAAACAAATCAGACCCAGAACATAAATCTTGAATCTTTACCATGAAAACCTAATCGGGTACCCCCAAAAAATCCAAAAAAATCCAAAAAAGCCAGAAATCAAACACGGAGATATTGAATCAGAATAAGTCATACCCATTACAAAGAAGAAAGAAATACGCATACCCATTAACTAGAAAGAAGGGGAAAATACCAGATCTTTGATTGAAAGGTCCTGAAAATCGTTGGCGAGGACCTGTTCGCCTTGGATCTTCATGAGTGAGGAAGTCATAGTGACAGATTCAGAAGGAAGGTATAAAAGAAACTAGTAGGGTGTGTATCTACGAAGAACCATACAATAGAAAACCTCAAGAAAGGAAAATAAAGAGAGATAAAGAGAGAGAAAGAGAGAGAGAGAGAACAAAAAGAATACAAGAGAGATGCTCAAGAATGATTCTCAGATGCCAAAGGGACAAAGGAAACAGTAAAAAGGTTGAAACTTGACGCGACAATGTCAATTCCAACTTTTTAAACTCAACACAAGGAACCGGGGAAACTTTTATTTTATTTTTCTATGATTTTTCATTTTTTCTTTTTTGTACAATTTTTCATTTTCAAACATTTTCTTAACACAAATTTAACTATAATACTGTAACAAAATATTTAGACTCTAATGTGATCATGATAATACGCTACTTTAAGCATTGTTGTAATCGAAAATCGTAACTGAAAATCATTAATATTGTTATAACTTATTCGGTAGTTTCGAATTTAGATTTTATATTTTTGCTCTAGCTTTTATAACAACTTTATCTCGTATGAACACGATTATTTCTGACGGAAGAAGTAAGTGATTTAAAATAAAAATGATAATATGGTAATTGAGAGAGGAGTTTGACTTCTTTTAATAAGTCTTCTTTGATTCTTACCCTATCAAAGACAAGATAGATTTAGAAGTCTAAAAATGTTGGTACAAAATATTTAAACCGACACTAATTCAGTTAGAGTTGGGAAATTTGTGAAAACGCAGGTAAATTATTTTAAATTTTAATATATTTATATAATCTTAAAAACTATATACTACTATGTTAATTATATTTCAGTTTTTGAACCATTAGTTATATTTATCAAAATATATAAATTAAGAAATAATTAATAATATTTTAATAAAATTTATAATTTGAATTAATATTATTTAATTATTATCATTTATTTAAATTAAAAATAAATAAAAATATCTCCAAAACTTATTATTAAAATAAGTAAATCCTTTCTCATATTACATATTAATTTACTTTAATATAGAACGATACTTTTAAAATGAAAATGGTATAAAACATTTTGCATAATTAATTAATTAAAAAATTCCATCGTCTCTCTATTAAAATAATTGCATAAAAAACTTATGTAATACATGATATTTATGATTAAAATACGAGAGAATCAAATTATACCCATGTTACTTTATATAACTATTTTTAATTTGATGATACTTTTTTTAAAAATTAAATATCAATTTCATCAACCTATATTATATGATATATATATATATATATACATATAATTTTATATTAATTTAAAATTATTTAATATCACATTTATATAAATCAAAATTAACATAATATATTTTTTAAAATATAAATAATTTAATTAATTTTTACTATTATTTAATTTTAAAAAATTTGACATACACAATTAAAATAACATAATATTATAATTCAGTAGTTAAATTGATAAAATTTATTTTAAATATAAAATAATTAAATAATATAATAATTATAAAAGTTACACTAATATAATTTAATCTCACTCTATTAAAATTATGTAGAATATTTTACATTATAACTAAATACATTATTTTCTTTTAAAAATATTGATTCAAACATTTGTTATATATATTAAATTATTATAATATTCATTTAATTAATAGTTTTATTTTTAATCGTTGTTAGAGGTAAAGACTAGCATTTATTATAATAAATTTTAATTCAATGCGTAAATTCATTTACTTTTAAAGTAATTATTATAGTATTATGAATTGTGAATAAATTTAAAATAATTAGTGGTTTGTTACTTTCTAAAATAGGCGAATAAAAAATATAAAAGGGAACATTCATAATATTTTGATATTTAGAAGGAGCATTTTTTAATCCGAATGACATAACATTCCATTTATAATGACTAAAGGGAACATTAAAAGCGGTATTATATTTGTCTTCCTCTTTCACCCCAATTTGATAATATCCTGATTTCATATCAAATTTAAAAAATATGTTATTGTTGCGAAAGCGATAATCATAATTATAAATGTAAAATTATCAGAGTTTTATAAGAGAACACTTACAAAGAGATGAGATTTGAAGAAGATAATAACTTAAAGAGAATTTTTTTATAGCAAGCGTTATTTTATAAACTTAGTAACTTCAAACACTCAATGCTTTACAAGAGAGGAGATCTTCTCCTTATATAGGCAAACTCTCACTTACTAAATTACAACTGAGGGCATGTAAACTCCTCATTATTGAAGGGTAGGATTGGAAAATAAAAAATAGTACAATAATTTACATAAAGTAAGACTTCAGAAGATAAGGAATCTTAAAAAGTCTTTTGTCGTCTTTTAGAGCTAGCAGATAAATTTTCTTGAAATGGCAGACCATATTTTTGAAGTTGTGTCTTGAAGCGTCGGTAAAAGAGACAGTTGTCTAAATGCGTCAGCAGGTAATCAATTCTTCTTTTGACTAATCAAACATATCTTCATTTCGAACATAAGGATTAGTTGAAACAGAATCTGAGGATCCTGTTTCTTCTTCAACTGAACCATCTTGCAGAGCATGAATAAGGCGAAGTCTTTCTTCAAACTCTTCTTGAGAACCAGCAGATGCTAGTTCTGCCATAATTCTGCTTTTATCGACTAAAAATTGAGAATCTTCAGCAATTCTTTTCTTTTTCTCATTTTCTTTAATTAATGGGACATTGGACTTTACCCAGTCATCTAATCTTTTTTTGCTTAATAAATTAAGATCAAATTTTTTCCACCATTTGACCCTAATACATCTTGTTAGAATTTTTATTGGTAACTCATCATACGGGCTTCTGAGAAGATAGTCCCATGAAACTATCCAAGTAATATTTTGAGAGGCTACAAATGATATGAGCTTGAAGTTTGGCAAGAATGAGGTCTTTTCTTTGAAATAGTCATAATTTTCTGATACTTCATTAGGAAATAATTCTCTTATTGGTCCCCAGTAATAGAACCATTGCAAGAACCATTTTGGAAATTTTAAAGAAATTCCTCTTTGAAACCAAATAAACCAGGAATGGGTTTTTGGTTGTAAGTAAAGAATATGGGTCCAAGCAGTAATGTAATCATAATAGGTAAAGGTTTGAGGCTGAAATTGTCTTGAAAAAGATTTTGGTTGATGAATTGGTTGGTCCCAGTCTGATGGTGACATAATTCTTAATATCTTTATTTTTGAGAACTGGATATTGTTTTGGTCATCTCGAGAATGGGTTAACTCTATTGAATCTGTATCTACGAGGATGAACTCATAGAAAAGTCTTGGTTGATAAAATGGAGGATAATGATGTCCTTCAGGGAAAATGGTATAGATAAGGTTGGTTAAACTTATGTCCTTCCATTCTGGTTCAACTGTCATAATATCAAAGGTTTGGTCTTTAGTGATATATTGTTCTTCATATGATCTTGAGCTGGATGGTGTTTTAACAGGAGGAGTAATTTTTGATAAGGATGGAGTAAATGATAATTGTTTTGAAGGGGCTGGCATAGAACTAGGTTCTAGTCCAGCTTCTAATGCGGCTATTGGGTTAAATTTGTTTGAATATAATAATGGAGAATTGAGAGAGTCTAAATATGTTGGTTTTTTGAGGGGTATTTTTGTATTGAGGTTTTGTATGGAAGGTGTTCTACTATTGAGAGAGCTTGGTAACTTTCTTGTATCATTCGGCGAAGCCGATAATAATCTTGATGAATCAGGTGAAACCTGTTTAACTGTCTTGCTGGAAGAGGCCTTGAAAGGCGTTCCATATTGATCTTTTGCACTTTTTCTCATTTTTCCTGTAAAAATTCTCTCATTAAATAATCTGGTAATGAGTTTGTCTCTCCTTTGATATGTTCAATCTCAAAATCGAAACAAGATAATAATGCTTGCCATCTTGCAAAAATATGTTTTGAAACTAAATTTTTAACATCTTTTTGTAAAACAGATGGGGCTGCTTTGCAATCAGTTCTAATTAAAAATATTTTTGAAAATAAATCATCTTGAAATTTTTGAAGACATAAAACTATTGATAAAATTTCTTTTTTAACGGTAGAATACTTTTGTTGGGCTGGATGCCAGATTCCTGAATGATATCTGACAATTTGTTCTTTTGATGATGATAAAAAATTTTGTTTAAGTATTCCCCCATATCCTAAGTCTAACGCATCGGTCTCAACAATAAGATAAGCTTCTGGGTCAGAAATTTCTAAATAGGGTAGTCTTTTGACTATTTGTTTTACTTTTTTGACTATTTCTGTCATATCATTATTCCAAGGATTTGGATTTTTTCTAAGGCGGGTGTATAATGGGGTACAAATAATTCTAATATTTGGTATAAAATCTGCTACATAATCAAATTAGAAAACACTAATATGTTATAAGGGGTCCATAATTACCATTTAAACACTAATTAGCTCTGCAACTATTTTTACTTCTCCAGGGCTTTCTGAATTAGCTTTAATTTTCTACTTCTTCCATTCAAATATGTTGATTTTTGTTTACAAAAAAAATCTGAATCCATCTTTGTTGTAATAGGCTTCCGAAGATGCTAAAAAGTTGGTTAATCAAGAGAAGTCTTTTGCCTGTACCGAAATCCAAAGTGATAGGTCAGTGGTGCTGAGAATTGGGGAGGCACTTGAGGAACAAGAAAAAGCTTCCCAAGCTTCTAAACCACAAGTACTAAAATGTTGTTTGATTACACGATTATATGTGTATGTATGTATAATTTTGCATTAATGAATTCATAATCAAGCTTTACTTTACACTATAATAATTTCAATGTACACAGGAGAATCAAATGTATGGGAATAAGCAAAGAATTACTAAATAATACAATTTTAGGATAGCAAAGTGAGGTTTATTCTATGTATGAAGGATGTAGCTAGAAAATAATATGTAAATAATACAATTTTTTGCATTTTTCTAAAATGACCTTATATATAATTATATTCGTTAAGAACTTCTTATGAAGTTAGTTTCCTCATCACCTATACAAACTTGACCTAGAAAATTTCAAACTTTCATACATGTGAAAAATCTAATGCGTAAACGAACAAGCTTGTGTTTTTTGACTACCCTGTATATATTTCTTTGCTTGTTGTTTAGTTAATATGGAAAATTCCTAAAGATGCTTTATTGATATTATGTTGTTATTGTTATGTTTAGCACGTAAAGTATACACTCCGTTTCTCCTCATTGCAACAGGACGTGGATGGACTAATAGAAGAGGTTCAAGAAGCTAGAAGAATCAAATTGTTGCATTAGCCAAGCAAGGTGAATTGCTTTTTGCTTCCTCAATACTGTTGTAGATGATAGTTTTTGTTTAATTTCACTATACTGAATTTTTATTATTATTTAATAATAATAATAATAATAATAATAATAATAATAATAATAATAATAATGGATGGCATAACAATTTTCAACTTCTTCTTCGTCAGATTCTGTTCCTAAAGAGGACAAAGCATCTAACAATTGCTTTTTCAGTATAGCTTTCTCTTCTTTAGAGGAAGGGAGATTTTCCAAAATATTCTTTGTAAGTGGCTTTTCAATCTTCAGAGTGGGCTGGGCCTTAGCTGGTGATTGAAGACCCAAAGTTTTCCACTTCTGAAACCTATCTTCAACATATTTGACTTCGAACTTCTTCCACCAAAAAACTTTTTGGTTTTTCGACAAATAATTTTCGGATAGGTGTCTTCTTTATGTTGATGGATTTCAAGAAGATGGGCCAAGAGTCAGCTTATGCCCATAGAAGAAAAAAATTTTATAAGACGTAGATGGGGTGGTTGATTCGGGGTGAGGATTTTATATTTTCGGTATATATTCAAAACATTTTCAGGAATTATAGATTGGACTGGACTTATTTGGAAAAACCAGTCTACAAACCAATTAGGAATTGGAAGGGGTAATTCATTTTTAAAACTGATATACCAAGAATGTATAGGGTTTTCTTCTAATAAGATATAGGTCCACGCCTTTTGATAATCAAAATATGAATATGAAGGAGGATCAAAAGGTCTAGAGAAATTCTTTTCGGTGAAGGGGTGTTGCTTCCAATCATGGTAAGACAACACTTTAACTATTTTTAGTGTAGAGTAATTTATTATGGATGGTTTTTTTGAATCTGCTACTGGGGTAATTTCTACTGATCCTGAATCTATTAAAATAAATTGATAAAAAATTTTGTTTTTCTTTAAATTTTCATTTTTTGGTATCCAACTCCAGTGAGGAGGAGCTAGACTTTTTACTATCTTCTAGGGATCGTCTTCTTGCCAGTGATCTTCAATTGTTACAACATGTTGACAATGTTCAAGGATATGAAATTCTTTTGGGATGTTTTTAGAGGTAGAAGAGGTGGCCTTTTCAGGAGTATTTGGGCTATAGGCCAATACTGTGAATTTTAAGGTATTGGGTAGTTTTCGGGTTTGGGATGCTTTTGAATATGATGGAGAGAAGTCATCTAGCGAAAGGCTAGATGGCCCGGTTTTTTTAGAGGGATTGGGCTGAGAGCCCATTTTTGGTGTGGTCATGGGTGAAACCCTGCAAAAATTCTCTTGTTAAAAATCTAGAATTGAATTATTCTTTCCTTTTATAAATTCAATTTCAAAATCAAAACAAGATATTAAACTTTGCCATCTAGCGAAAATCTGTTTTGAAACCAAATTCTTAACATCTTTTTTTAAAACTTCTTTTGTTGATTTACAATCTATTCTCAAAAGAAATTTTTTGTTTATTAAATCATGCTGAAATTTTTGCATGCATAAAACAATGCTTAAAATTTCCTTTTTAATAGTCCTATATTTGGTTTGGGCTGAATTCCATATTCCTGAATGATATTTTACTATTTGTTCAGGATGGTTTCCTATTTTTTGTTTAAGTATTCCCCCATATCCTTATTCTGACGCATCTGTTTCTATTATCAATTTGGCTTCGGGATTTGGGATTCCTAGACAAGGCAAGGATTTTACTTGGGCTTTTACTTCCCGAACTACTTTAGTTAACTCAGGAGTCCAAGGTTTTGGATTTTTTCTAAGCCTATTATAGAGGGGTTTACACAATATTTTAATGTTTGGGATAAAATCTGCTATATAATTTACACAACCCAAAAATCTTTGTAATTGATTTTTATCTTTTATTTCATTAGGAAATTTTTCTGAAAATTCTATACTTCTTTTTATAGGGGTAATTGTTCCTTGATAAATATCATGTCCCAAAAATCTAATTTTCGTTTGTGCCAGTTTAATTTTCTTTTGGGAAATAATCATTCCATTTCTTTTTGTTAGATTTTTAAATATTTTCAAATGTTTTAGATGTTGTTCAATTGATTCTGAAAATATTAGCACATCATCTATCTAGACTAGTGCAAATTTTGAATATGGGTTTAATATAGTATTCATTATATTTTGAAATTCGGAGGGGGCATTCTTAAGTCCCATTGGCATTACATTCCATTCATATTGGCCAAATGGTACTACAAATGTTGTTTTGTATTTATCTTCTTCTTTTACTTTTATTTGATAATAACCACTTTTCATATCAAACTTTGAAAATATGGTAGCATTATAAATTCTACTTATTAGTTCTGACTTATTAGGAAGAGGGTATCTTATCCATTTTAATACTTTATTCAATGGTTTATAATTGATGACCATTCTAGGTTCTCCTCTTTCTATTTCCGAAGCATTTTGTACATAAAATGCTGCACAACTCCAAGGAGATTTACTAGGTCTTATTAATTTTTTATCTAAAAATTGTTGAATTTCTTTTCTACAATATTCTAAAGTTTCTTTATTCAATTGTACTGGCTTAGCTTTTGTGGGAATATTTTTTTTCCACAAATCCTTCTTCATATGGTAATTCTATTTCAAAATAATTTCGTTCCCAAAAGGCATTAGGAACATCTGAACATATTTCTCTTATTATTTCTTTTTCAATATTTTCAAATTCTTTTTTAATCCTTGGATCTTGTAATTTTTCTTCAATGTGTTTATATTTTATTTCGTTTTTTAAATATTTTATTTGTTCTATTTTTGCTTGTATTCTTGTTATAAAATTTTTTTCAGTTATATCTTTTACATTATGTATTGCATTTGTTGTTGCTAGTTATATAAATTCAAATAACAATTCTTTAAATTGTATTCCTTCTGAAGTTACTGTAAAGGGATATATTTGGCTTACGAAGGGTGTTCCTAAAATCATTTCTTCACTTATGTCTGGAGTTAAAATAAAAGTATTTTTAAAACAAGTTCCCTTATTACAAATATAAGCTTTTGAAAGTTTATATTTTACTTTTAATTTATTAGAATTTGTGGCTCTTAAAGTTTGAACAGTTTTCTCATAATATTAGGTTGGTATTAAACCTTCTCTTATACAATTTAAATCTGCTCCTCAATCTACTAGAGCTGTAAAAGTTTTATGATAATTTTTTCCTATTTTTAACGTTTCTTTTATTAACCATTTTTGCTGTATTATTTTTATTTGTCTTATAACTATATTTTCTTCGGAATTTGTTGAGATAGATGGTTTATCCTTTTCAAGGATTTCCTTTATTAGTTCATTTTGCTGATAGTTTTCTTGTTTTATTTCAATCAATTGAGTTTTTATAATATTAACTTCTCCCTTTAAATCATTTATTTCTCTTTGTAAATCTCTAATATTTACAGGTTTTTCTTTTATTGAGGCTTTCTTTAATATTTGTGAAAAATCATACCCACTAAATTCAGGAGTGGAAGTAGATTCTTCATGGATTTTGTCTTCTAATATTAAATCTTTTAATTTACTTAAATATTCTAGTTTTTCTTCTTCATTAGGAATTTTTTCTACCATTTCTAATATTAATTTTGCTTTAGCGGTTATTACATTTATACTAAATGAACATGAACATGGATTTTCATCACATTCGCATTCACTGTCTTCATCACTTGAAGTGTCTGTATTATCTATATATTCTACACTACTATTATCTTCTTCCTCACTTTCTGATTCATAAAGTAAAAGTTTTGCAATTTGCTCTTTTAATTCTTCAAACATATTTAAATTATTTATTTTTTCTTTAACTCTACAATCTTATTTCATATGCCCATATCTTCCACACTTGAAATAAACTATTCCTTTATTTTTATTAAGAAAGGTTTGTTTTTTATTAAAATTTTTCTTATTATTATTATTATTATTAGTAGTAAATTTTCTTTTCTTAAAAGGCAGGGTATTTTTTCTAAAAGATTGATTTCTTTTAAAAGGTCTTCTAATATTCTTTTTATATTTTCTTGATGGAGGTGTTATGCCTTCGTACCCATATTGAGCACAAAAATTTCCCAATTCTCTTATTTCACTTTCTTTTTGTTTTTTAATTTGTTTTTCTAGTTTCATATTATTACAGATTTCTAAAGCAGTAGTTTTTATTATCGCAATTATTCTTCCATAGGTTAATTCTTGTAAGTTTTCATCATATGTTTGGCTTAATTTTTCTCTAATTTTTGTAGCAAAAACTGGGGACAATCCTGCAATAAATTTTTCTTTCCAAAAGTTTTCTTTACAGTCTGCGCTAGTCATTACCATCATTATAAAATTGTCTACGTACCATCTGAAATCTCCTAAAGTTGGACATCTTAGATTATGTAAGAGGGTATTTGTCTTATTATCAAAGATATTTGAATCTCCCATAAAACTTTGAATTATAGATATTATTAAGGTTTCTACCATTAATGGGATGGTTATTCCTTCTTCTACTTTTACTATATTTAGAATATAATTTCTTTGTTCTTGGGTAAGATAATTATCCCACCATCCTTTTAATGATCCGGTAAATCTAGCTATTAAAAGTTTTACGGTTTGAGCCTCACTATGTTTTGCTCTGTAAGCTGAGGCAGCCATTGACATTTCATGAGTTTTTCTTAATATTTGATGTTCTGTTAAACCATCTATATTCCATTCCGTTATTCCTTCACCATTAAAGGCAGAAGGACTTTCTAAATTCCATTCTTCAAATTGTATGTCTGGAAGGGTAGGTCTTCTGTAATAATTTCTAGTTATAGGCATATTATTTGTATTTGGACTTTGATTAAATTTTCTTTGTATTTTATATATATTATCTTCTAAATCTTCTAAATTTATTTTTCCTATTTCTTCTTCAAGAATTTTTAATATATTAATGTTTTTTATATTTAATTTGCGCTGAGCGCTCTGGGGAGCGCGCTGAGCGCTCTGGGGAGCGCGCTGAGCGCTCTGGGGAGCGCGCTGAGCGCTCTGGGGAGCGCGCTGAGCGCTCTGCAAGTTATCTTCCCCAATCAAGATAAAGACGCGCTGAGCGCGTACTCATCCCGCTCAGCGTGCTGCAAATTTTCAAGTCAAGGAAATTGAAACATAGCAACACTAAAACGAGGGAACTTGCGCGAGTGAACGAAAATCACTCGCTTCACGCAACAAAAATCAAAAACACTAAAACAACAGAAATGCACAGAAAAACAAACATAGAAAGCAAAATAGGAGAGAAATGGGTGAGAAGCATTACTTGGTTGGTTGAATGGAGTGCAAGACAAGGTAGAATATGAGCAGAGAAGAAGGAAAGTGAGGGTTAGGGTTTGGAGCGAGAGTGAATGAGAGGGATGAGAGGAGAGGAGGAGAATATGCGAAGTGTGGCAGAGACTAGTGCCCCTAACTTGATACGCGCTGGGCGAGCAAGAATACGCGCTTTGCGCGTGCTTGGCAGAGACTTGTGCCCCTAACTTGACGAATTCCGCTCAGGGCGCTTGGATACGCGCTTAGCGCCTCGCAGACAGAGACTCGCCTACTTAAATTCGCTGAGCGCGAGGGGGAGCGCGCTGGACGCATTTTTGATGCTCTAATCACTGGAAGTATCGCGCTTGGCAAGGAAGACGTTGCGCTGAGCGCGGTATTGATAGAGACTTTTGGTAAAAATCTTCACCAATTTCGCTGGGCGAGCAGGGTGGCGCGCTTGGCGCCTTGGAGACAGAAGCTTCCCACTTTTATTCACTGAGCGCGCTCAGTTGCGCGCTTAGCGCGAAGAAAACAATGAGTTCCAGTGATTTCCACGCTGGGTGCGATCACCTGCGCGCTGGGCGCGAGTTGTGGTTTAGCCTAATTTCCCTATATCTCCAAAAACTAAGTTTCTCATCCTTTCCCAATGCAAAAATTTGAATCCTACTCTCAAAACTATCTATAACTAGTTTCTCAGTCTAACTAACAACTACCATCCTAGCAATGCAAAACACCAATCAAAACATAAACATACACACTATTAGACATGCACTTAAAAGAAAACTTAAACACATAAAAGTTCAGATCATCTGGATTGCCTTCTAGGAAGCGCTTGTTTAATGTCACTAGCTTGACGACCTTTTTGGTTCACTACGGGTCGCTAAGCTCAAGCTTAGCAATCAGCCTTTCAAAATCTCCACCAAGATAAGGCTTCAATCGCTGCCCAATAACCATCCAACTTCTTTTGGAAGCAGGGTCTTCAATTTCAACTGCTCCATAGGGCTTAACCTCCTTGATAACAAGGGGTCCGGACCACTTCGATCGAAGTTTTCCAGGGAACAACTTCAACCTGGAGTTAAATAATAACACAGATTGGCCTGGTCGGAAATCCCTCTTCAAGATTTTCTTATCATGATAAGCCTTCACCCGTTCTTTGTACTGCCTTGAAGACTGATAAGCATTGAGTCTCATTTCTTCTAATTCATGAAGTTGTGACTTTCTCTTCTCCCCACAAGACTTCGGGTCAAAATTTAGCAGTTTCAATGCCCAGAAGGCTTTGTGTTCCAGCTCCACCGGGAGGTGACATGCCTTTCCATACACCAACTGGAATGGTGATAGTGATGTTGGTGTCTTGAAAGCTGTTCTATATGCCCATAAAGCCTCGTCAAGTTTGCTAGCCCAATCTTTTCTAGAAGTGGCAACTGTCTTTTCTAGAATTCTCTTGATTTCTCTATTAGACACTTCTGCTTGTCCATTGGTTTGAGGGTGGTAAGCTGTTGCCACCTTATGTCTCACCCCATAATGTTCTAAGGCCTTCTTGAGCTGAACATTGCAAAAGTGAGATCCTCCATCACTGATCAGAACTCTGGGCGTACCAAACCTGTAGAAAATATTCTTCTTAAGGAATTTGATTACTGTTTTAGCATCCGCTTTTTGTGTTGGGATAGCCTCTACCCATCTAGATACATATTCCACTATTAGAAGGATGTACTCATTGGAAAATGAAGTTGGTAAAGGGCCTATAAAGTCAATCCCCCAGCAATCAAAAACTTCCACTTCTTGAATGTTCTGCAATGGCATCTCATGTCTCTTGGAGATAGTTCCACTCCTTTGACAGCTATCACATCTCTGTACATATCCATGGGCATCCTTGAATAAGGTAGGCCAAAAGAACCCAGACTGGAGGACCTTAGCTGCTGTCCTTTCCCCATTAAAATGACCTCCGTATGGTAAGTTGTGGCAATGCCATAGAATGTCTTTGGCCTCCTCTTTTGTAACACACCGTCTCAACAGATTTTCAGCTCCAATCTTGAACAAATGAGGATCATCCCACACATACAACTTGGCATCATTAATCATTTTTTTTCTTTGGTGCCAATTTAGATCTTCAGGGATGACTCCAGCAGCTTTAAAATTAGCCATGTCTGCAAACCATGGTCTTTCTTGGATTGACAAGAGTTTTTCATCCAGGAATTCCTCTGATAGCTCTGGTTCTAGTGTAGTCACCTCATTGTTCACTAGTCGAGAGAGATGGTCTGCTACATTGTTTTCACAACCTTTCTTGTCCTTGATTTCTAAATCGAACTCCTGCAACAACAGTATCCACCTTATTAGCCTATTCTAAAATGACCTTATATATAATTATATTCGTTAAGAACTTCTTATGAAGTTAGTTTCCTCATCACCTATACAAACTTGACCTAGAAAATTTCAAACTTTCATACATGTGAAAAATCTAATGCGTAAACGAACAAGCTTGTGTTTTTTGACTACCCTGTATATATTTCTTTGCTTGTTGTTTAGTTAATATGGAAAATTCCTAAAGATGCTTTATTGATATTATGTTGTTATTGTTATGTTTAGCACGTAAAGTATACACTCCGTTTCTCCTCATTGCAACAGGACGTGGATGGACTAATAGAAGAGGTTCAAGAAGCTAGAAGAATCAAATTGTTGCATTAGCCAAGCAAGGTGAATTGCTTTTTGCTTCCTCAATACTGTTGTAGATGATAGTTTTTGTTTAATTTCACTATACTGAATTTTTATTATTATTGGTCATAATTCTTCAAATTGCTATATTAGAAAGAATTTTAACAATCTCAAAAATTTGGTGTGGATTCCAAAATGTTCTTTTGTTAATACTAACATTAAGGACCCAAAGAAAACTTGGATACCTAAATCAACCCTTTCTTTGTCTTGAAGGATTCCAGCATCCAAACTTGGTACATTGATAGTGGATGCTCCAAGCACATGACAGGAGATGCTTCAAAATTTATTGACTTCACTCCTAAGAGAAGTGGACATGTAACCTATGGAGACAACGACAGAGGAAAAATACTTGGCATTGGAAAAATTGGTACAAATTTCTCAACCTCCATAGAAAATGTTTTACTTGTAGATGGTCTTAAACATAGCCTATTAAGTGTTAGCCAACTTTGTGATAAAGGTTTTTCAGTATCCTTTGATTAAAAAAAATGTCTAATTGAACACAAAAATGATAAACAAGTCAACTTTGTAACTACTATTTTGGAACATTTTAAAGTTCCTTTGGAAGATGAAACATGGGTTCCAGTTTAGAGGGTCTTTGAGATTAGGGCAAATGCAATTGCTTCCTTTGGGTACAAGAAAACACTGGAAAACACCTGGGTCAGGAAGTGGGATTTTCAGGCAGTGGACACTGATGATAGAACTCCGTCACCACCTCCTCAAGATCTTTCATCAGCACTTCTCTCAAATGTTCTCAATGAAATTAGGGATCTCCGTTTTTATGTTGGTAATTAATATAATCTGCTATACTTGTATCCTAAATCTATTAAAATTTCCTTTTCTAACTTCATAACATTTTGGATAACCTGTACCAAACTACCAATACCTGTGCGATTAGGCATGTCATAATTTAAAGAACCATTCTTCATAATGGTGAAATATGAGAGTTTTTTTATTTCAGGTGATGGCGATGGAATATGAACTTCGTGCTCTTCATCAACTGCCCCTTCATCATCTTCCTCTGGTCCCACCACTCGCGCTCTAGGTGGTTTTATTTTCTAAAATTCATCATCTTCATCAACTGCCCCTTCATCATCAACTACTTAATATTTTCTAAAATTCATGTATTTCAATTATTTGAAATTGAATTACTATTATTATAACTAGCAAAAAAAAAAGGCACTCCGTGCTTGCGTTGTATTAAAAAAAAAATAAATATTGAAAAGAATGAGGAGTTATTAATAAAAAAGGTAGTTATTGAAAAATAAATAAAGGATAAAATGGTCTATGTAAAAATGGAAACCAAAAGTAGTTATTGAAAGTGCTAAATGTATATAATTAATTTAATTTTAAAAAAATTAATATTATTTAATACCACATATTTTATTTTTTAAATTAAATTGAAGGAAACTTTTGAAATCAAACGTGAAACATGAAGATATTCTCGAGGGTGGCTTTGATTTAAAATCTTTCTTATATGTGAAAAAAATAATAATATCAATGGTAGAAAAAACAAAGAAAAGAATGGAGGAATTACTTTAGTAGAAGCAGAGGGGAGCACAGAATGTTGGAGTCAACCTTATCGAAAAAGTTTGATGTTCCAAATGCAAGCAAAGCATTAAAAACAACTTGAAAACCAAAATCGAAACTAAATTAGTGTCATTTACTCCACAAATCCAAATTTCGTTTCGATGTACATACCTACAATTTCACAAATTCTAATTTCTAACATATCTAATTGAAGATGATTTAGAAAGAAAAAAAAATACTTGTCAATGATGTAGTTATCACAATGAAATTATTGTTGTTCTTCACCATGTTGTAATATATCCTAAAATTTCAATAGAAAAAGAAACAAAGAAATTCATTAAAAAAATATTGGAACATTAAAGAAGATTAGTTAAAATATATTACAACTTGCTTCGAAATGTGATTCATACCAAGATATAGTGTGATTGAGTTTGAAATAAAGGGAAAATTGAGAATCGATTGGTATGAAAAAAGCCATAACATATCTGAAAATACATTACATGTTAATATTAATCTTTGTGTAAATAAATATATTAATATTGTTGGTGTTAATTAATATAATCTGCTATACTTGTATCCTAAATCTATTAAAATTTCCTTTTCTAACTTCATAACATTTTGGATAACCTGTACCAAACTACCAATACCTGTGCGATTAGGCATGTCATAATTTAAAGAACCATTCTTCATAATGGTGAAATATGAGAGTTTTTTTATTTCAGGTGATGGCGATGGAATATGAACTTCGTGCTCTTCATCAACTGCCCCTTCATCATCTTCCTCTGGTCCCACCACTCGCGCTCTAGGTGGTTTTATTTTCTAAAATTCATCATCTTCATCAACTACATTTTGGATAACCTGTACCAAACTACCAATACCTGTGCGATTAGGCATGTCATAATTTAAAGAACCATTCTTCATAATGGTGAAATATGAGAGTTTTTTTATTTCAGGTGATGGCGATGGAACATTGTCAAGATATACTAATGCAAATTTCATATGAGGATAAACAATATCATTCATAATGTTTTGATACTCAGAAGGAGCATTTTTTTTAATCCGAATGGCATAACATTCCATTCATAATGACCAAAGGGAACATTAAAAGTGGTTTTATATTTGTCTTCCTCTTTCACCCCAATTTGATAATATCCTGATTTCATATCAAATTTAGAAAATATGGATGCATGGTTTAATCTTTTAATAAGATCTTGTTTATTAGGCAAAGGATATCTAATCCATTTTAATACTTTATTTAATGGTTTATAATTTATGACTAATCTAGGTACTCCTCCTCTTTCTTGTTCAGCTGCATTCATAACATAAAAGGCTGAACAACTCCAGGGAGATTTAGAATTTCTTATTAATCCTTTATCTAAATATTGTTGAATTTCTTTTGTACAATATTCTAAATATTGAGTATTCATTTGAATTGGCCTTGCTTTAGTATTGATAGTTTTTTCATCAAAGTTATCTATATACGGTAATGAAACTTCATATTCTTTACGATGCCAAAACGCTGTTGGATTTAATTCACATATTTCTTTTTCAATTTTATCATTAATAACCTTTATAGTTTTTTGCAGATTTTTATTTTGTAATTGTTCTTCAATTCTTTTGTATTGAATTTCTTTAGAAAGAAAATTAATATGTTTCTTTTTATTAGTAATAATACTAGTAGAATTTTCTTTTAGAAGATTTAATTCTCTTGATCTTGGAGGATATATAAATTCAAAACACAAATTATTATCTAAAATATTTGTTTCTAATCCTTTTTCAGTTACTGTAAAGGGGTATAATAGTGACAAAAAGGGTGTTCCTAATATGCAAGGAATATTCATATTTTTTACTAGAACAAATGAGGTTTCATAACATATTTTATTTTTATAAATTTTTGCTGATGAAAGCTTGTAATTAATTTTCATATGAGAGTTGTTAGCACTTAATACCTTTTCTGAGGTTTTTTCATAATATTTTGAGGGAATAATTCCTTCTTGTAAACAGTTAATATCAGCTCCAGAGTCAATTAAAGCAATAGGATTAAATTCATCATTTTTATCAAGTAGTTTAATAGTACACTGCCATTTATGAGTAGTAATAAGGTTTAAGTAATTATTATCTATTGGTGGAGTACTAGATGTAGAGGTTTGATTAGTATTAATTAATTGTTGGGTTCTAAGTTTTTCTATTCCTTCTAATTCTAATAATCTATATTCTATTGAGATATTATTTTGTTTTAAATTAGTAATTTCATTCTTCAATGTTTTTACTTCTTCTTGTAGATCTTTAACAGTTATAGGTGAAGGTTGCCTAAATCTAGCATATATTTCCTTTAAATTTATTTATTTATTTTCTTCTTGTTCTTTTTCATCTTTTTTTAATAATTCTTCTAATTTTGCTATAAATTCTGTTCTTATAGGACCATCTTCTAATTGTGATATAAGATCAATAAGAGTATGGTTTTGTTCAGAAGTTAACATATTAATAGTTTTGCAATCTGTACAGGTACAGAGTTCTGGACCTAGACAACATTCATCTTCTTGACTAGAATTAGGATTCATTAATCCATTTTTTATCAATGTGAAAAGTTTCTTGCCTAGTAAGTGTATTGAGTATTTGTGATCGAGTAGGATCAAAATCATCTTCTATTTCTATATTAGAATTATTTTCATAAACAGGTCTAGCTATTTTTGAATTAATATCTAATTTTTTTAAATCTATATTAATAGTGGATCCATCTATTGAATGTCTAGAATTAGATCCTTTATAAATCATTTGAGGTAACTGATTTCTCAAAGAATTTGATCTATTCATTCTTAATCTAATATCTGTTCCATCTTGAATTATTTCTCTAATTTGAGTATTGTATATTTTTGGTTCTTCTATAATATTTTCTAATAACCAATCTTCTGGAATTTTAAAAATAACTTCAGCGTGACTAAGACGCCTTGGTATTTGTATTGGGGATTTTCTAAGGTTTGCTTCAACTAAAACAATTTCATTTTTAGGTGAAGATATAAGGGCTTTATAGTTATAATCTATTTTAGTAACTTTGTAATAAATTCTAAAAATGAGTTGAATAGGACCAAAATCTTCATCTAAGATTTCATCAGGGATTTTAACATATAACTTTAAAGCATTACTAGTTTTTGTATTTTAATATTCATAGAAAAGTTTGGATAACAATTAAAGAAGGCAGGACCATCATGCAGATTACTTTCTAATATGGTTATAATAGAGTCTTGAAATTGTTTCATGCGAATATCACGTAGTAATAATAATATGGGACTGTTTATGCCTAATCTATAATTAGGTTTAATAGCTACTTGAATTAATCCTAAATACATGTAATTATATCTTTTTTAATATGCTCTCAGTTGTAATTTAGTAAGTGAGAGTTTGCCTATATAATTGATTTACTTTTAAATTAATTATTATAGTATTATGAATTGTGAATAAATTTAAAATAATTAGTGGTTTGTTACTTTCTAAAAGAGGCGAATAAAAAATATAAAATAAGAAAAGAGAAGATTTTGCTCGTGCGTGGTCTTGAATTGTGGAGAGCACGTGAGCGTCCTCAACATGTGCCATCTGTCATCTGGACCCTAATACCAAACACACGTTCCACTTCTTCCCTCTTATTTTTCACCAAACAACAGGATACTTTCCATTTTCTAAATTTTTAAAAAAATAAATAATATGAAAAATGATACTAACATTATGTTCCTAAAAGTATAATAAAAAATAAAAAATAAAAACTGTAGAGAATCTTTTCTCAGATATAATGACAGACAATCACAAAACCAAAGATGACACCAAACTTTCATCTTAATACTATAAATATTACTAGTATTTATTTTAGCCTTTAACTTTATAATTTCATTAAAATTTCTGCTTTTATAAAATATTGAAGTGAAATTTTTATAACAAATTATATTAAAATAAATAATACCCACAGTTTTTAGAATCGAAATAGAGGTTAATTTTTAGACATGTTTCAAGTCCACCAAAGTTGGGTATACCTACTCAAACTCTATTTTAATAAATTATAAAACGATATTCTCAGACTTTCATATAACAGTTAACTTCCATATATAT